GTGTGACACTTCCCCTGACGTGTGTCACTTCCCCTGACGTGTGACACTTCCCCTGACATGTGTCACTTCACCTGAACATGTGACACGCGGTCCTGTTCTGAGGCAGCAGCAGCAGCGAGGAACAGCACAGGTCATAGGGTCCCAGCTCCTTTGTGGTTCCTGCCACCCCTCAGCTCTCCTGACCAGCAGTGTCAGCGTGGCCTGGTGTGAGCCCCACACAGCGGGTGCCATGTACACAGAGCAAAGTGCTCAGGCCCCTCCTCACCATGGCTGCAACCAGGGCCGGACCCCTTGAACAAGAGAGCCAACGTCAGCCACGCCTGGCCCAGTAGGGGCGCCACACTCACTGAGGGTAGACAGGGTGCACCCCACACTCTGCTGTCTTCACGAGTGTCCCCACTTGTGAGCCCTGCGGGGACATGATGTGCAAACTCACCGCGTCAGGATTTCTGACATCACAGCAGGAGCTCAGAACAGCCACACACGAGCAGACACACGGTAACTACGAGGGTCCTGCCCGTCCCCCGGTCTCCAAGGCAGAGACTTTGGAGCTTGGCCAATGCTGCTTGTGAACTATGGCCGTCTTGAGTCTGTGACCACTCCCCATCCTGCTTTCCTCTGGCTGCAGGAAAGCAAAAGCAAAGAAAAATGGAGAGTGGAACCGAAATTAACGTTTTCTCTTTGTGTCAGAACGGCGGACTGCTTGATCTCTAGACAGCATGCTTGCGTGTCCGTTTAACCTTCGCCACAGCCTTTGTATGAAGTGGATTGGCAAATGAACTATTTTTTCATTTATCTGTTTGTTTCCATTGTAGCCTGGGCTGGCCTTGAGCTGGCTATACAGCTAAGATGACCGTCAGGTTCTGATCTCTCCTTTCCTCTATCTCCCAGGTGCTCACCGCCGTGCCCAGGTCACGGGGTCGGAACCCAGGGCTTCACGCTTGCTAGCCAGCACAGCACCTACCGACCGAGCTACAGCCCAAGGCTGACAGGTGAACTTTGGACAGAAGAGTCTGCTTAGCATGACCAGATGTAGGGTAGCGTTTGCATCCAGGAAGATTTTCTGGTCTTTCTGACCCTTCACCTTGAAGACCTAAGATTGTCCCAGATCCCGGCTGCTCTGCAAGGTTTTTATGGGTCAGGCAGCCGCGCCACTCCATCTGAAGTTATATTCAGATGATTATAATTAGTGTCCGCCCTCACAAGCAGAGGCTGCTGCTGCTGGGTGAGCCGTGAGGGTCGTAAAGATATTTCTTGTAACTTCAATCAAAGCCGATGTTTCACCTGGCTCTCTGCACAAACATTTGGATGAGGAGGCGTTCTGTGCTCTGGGCCTCCAGAGGCAGCCAGCTTTCGATTGCAAAGACATTCCCAGAGGGCAGAAAGTTGTGGCATCAGTTGTGCCCAGGACAGGGGGTGCTGGTGGAAGGTTCCAGTCAACACAGTGAGTGTGTGAAAGCCCCCCCCCTCTCTGCTTCCCTGTGGGGGACTTTTCCTCACCTTTAAAGCACCTTTGTCTCAGATGGAGTTACACATTGTGTCTGAGGAGTTACTTAAAGAACAGAGAGATTTAATAAAGCCACTGAGCAGTCAGGCACTGTGGTGCACACCTGTGAGCCCAGCACTCAGGAGGCTGAGGCAGGAGGGTTGCTGGGAGGGTCAGTCCACCTAGGCTACATAGTGAGACCCTGTCTTAATAAATAAAATGCAGGCACTATGTATGGTGGAACACTCCTATATTCCCAGCATTTGGGAAATGGAAGCAGGAAAATCAGGAATTCAAAGTCATCCTTGGCTACATAGTGAGTTTGAGGCCGGCTTGATCTACGTAAGGCCCTGTGTCAAATAAATAAGTTATAATATAATATAAGTCAACCAAGTAATCCATTGGCAACACAAACCCTGTCACTCTTGGCTTTATTCATTGTCACTGAGGTTCTCTGGCCTGAGTCCTCACTGCTCCCATAACAGAACCACAGGAGTTCATGAAGCCAGCACTTCCCCCATAAACAACCAAGAGGAGATTCTTCTTCTTGGCTTCAGTGCCTTGCTACCTATGTCTAAAATCTCTAGCCCAAACTGGACGTGGTTGTATATGCCTTGGAGGCCAAGGCAAGGAGACCTCAAATTAAAGGCCAGTCTGGAATATTCAAAAAGACCCAATAAAAACCAAAGCCAAAACCTCTCGAGCCATATCACACTTGCAGAGATTTCAAAGCTCAGAGCAGGGCCCTTGCCAGCCTTTCTCCCTCTCATTCGTCTTTCAGTTTTAGGTCACGGTCATGACTCCTACCAGGACAGCTTCCCCTCAGCCGACCTTACCGAAAGTGCTGTTGTTATCTCTGGGAGCCACGAGGAGAAGTGTGGGGTTAAGCTGGGTCTCACAGGCCCATGGAGGTCATTGCCCTGGAAGCCAGCCTGTTTGTCCTGTGCTGAGGGTCATAACTGGTGTCCTGCTCTGACTTGGCCTTCTGATGTGTGATGGGTATCCCACTTGTGAACTTGCCCTGTGGGGACTTCAGAAAGTAGCAGAGGGGGTCCTTCACTGCTGAGGAGGATGCTGTGTAAACAAACATTTGTTTGTCATCCCAAGTCTTCTTGGAAATCGTTCTTCAAAGGCAGTAGATTAGCATGAGCCAAGGTTCTCAGAGAAAGCTCTGCCAGGCACAGCAGAGTCACAGGCAGGGATGATCCCCTAATTAGTTAGGCACTGTGAGATAATCTCACCAGGCTGGTGAGATGGCTCAGTGGATGAAGGCGCCTGCCACCAAGACTGACAACCCGAGTTTGATTCGCTCCCCAGGGGCTGCCCCCATATGAGTAACGTTGCATGAGCTTGTCCCCTCCATATAGACACCGACCATACAAATGTCTGCGGGAGATGTGTGGCTCCAGAGAAGCTGAATTTCAAACACGAACGTGTCACATAAATTTGAGGAAACAGGAGAAAGTTAAGGTGTCATGAGCTTGGTCTTTGTAGGTAAAATGGCTTTCCTGGCTTTGTATGCTCAGTGCTACAAAAGTGCCTCCTGAAAAGGCATCACCCCCATGGAGACATTTCCTCGGGGAAGTGAAGGAGGAGCTGTAGAATTTTCCTGAGACATTGCTCTGTCTGAAGGGGTTCTTGATTTTGGTAGACTCCAAACTGCCAGGCCAGTCCTTCGTCGTCTTCTCTCCTGTGGATGACAGAGGCACGAACACAAACACGCCTGTCTTTGTTTCATCACCATTGTCCGGGCTTTGTCATTTTGGGTTCTCCTTTTAGACATTCAGAAGCAGTCAGTTCTCTCCTCTGTTCTTTCCACCTCCTAGATGGTGGTCCCTGGGGAGCTGCAGGGTCGGGGCCCCTGTGCCCCTCTGCTCACATTGTCATCCGCGGATCAACCCATAGCCTTGGTTTATGTGTGCTCCTATTTAAAGACATATTTAGTATGTATGTATCCAGGGCTGGTCTTGAACTCATGATGTAGCCCAGAATGACTTTGAATTTCTGATCATCCTGTTTCTGCCTCCCAAATGCTGGCATCACAGGCCAGCAACACCACGCCCGGCTTTTAACATTGTTGATTCATTGGCCTTGAACTCAGCAGCCAGCAATGCTGAAGTTTATCTTTGCCTTTTCACCCTGAAGGACACTAGCCAGCAGCCCAAAGCTGCGCTTCCAGATGCAAGGCTGCAGAAAATAACAGATGTAGAATCTGAACAGTGTGGGGTGGGGTGGTTGATGAGGAATAACTAACAGGTCACCCTTGTCCTTGTGCCCGGCCATACTCTACCAGGGCACAAGGGCTCTCTTTTTCAGCCTTCTCTTCTAGATCCTTCCTGGGCCTGTCTTCCTGAGCTGGTATGTTCTTAGTGGAAGCCTCTCCCTCCCCACTGCTAGTATCTAGTCCTCTCCACGGCGAGTATTTGTGAGTCAAGAAGAGCTGGATACAGTAAATGCAGTCCTAATAAAGAAGTCCTAGGTTGGGCAGTGGTGGCGCACGCCTTTAGTCCCAGCACTCGGAAGCCAGAAGCAGGAGGATCTTTGTGAGTTCCAGGCCAGCCAGGTCTACAGAGTGAAGTCCAGGACAGGCTCCAAAACTATACAGAGAAATCCTGTCTCAGAAAACAAACAAACAACAACAAAAGTCCTAGCTGGTGTGGAGCTTGTAGTTTATAAGGAACCCTTCATTTTAAGAGAACTACCGCAGGACAGGGAGGGCCCTCAGTAATAAATTTACTCCTCACATCTTGTTGTAGGAGGGACTCACTAGTTTGAGAATTTGGAATTTTCTTCCTAGGCCTGTGGTTATAAACTGGGCCCTGGAGTTTGATGTCAGTGGCCTCAGAGCCCACTCTCCCTGGACATTTCAAGATAATACCTTGATGTCTAAGGAGAAGCTGAGACACCTCAATGTCCCAGGAGAGGTAACGAGTCTGGCCCAGGTACTCAGGTAGGTGAGGCTCTGGAGCTGAACTTCCAGCGTGTCATATTCCATCCCTGGCCTCAGAGCACAGCGTCTAGAAACTGTGTGAATGGGAGAGTCATCCCATGACATTCTTCCTACGTGGCCAGGATTCTGTAGCATGGTTATCCAGTCTGAAAAGAGAGTTCTAACCAGACCCTGCCCAGAAAAAGCTGCTTCCCCTCTGGGCTTCCGTGGCTGTCTGCAAGCTCTGAAAATCTTCACATTAGCCTAAAGCCCGGCTAGAGAATAGAGCTCTGCTCATACGTATCTCCTTAAAAAAGTCACAGATATTCAAACATCAAAGAGAAAGGCTGACTGGAGCAGTTCCCCCACCCCACCCTGCTGCCTGCCTCATGGAAATGAACTGAACAGCAGGAAGCAGGAGTGAGAGGAAACCGGGTGAGGGTTGGCTGCACATTCTCCCTTCCCCCAAGCCCTGTGGGTCTGACAGCCGTGACTTCTGGGCTCCCTCTGCCTCCCTCCCCAGGGAGACACAGCCGAGCAAGGATGGAAACTGTTGTAGGAAGCCAGAAGAAGCTTGCCTCTTCTTATTTAATGTTCATTTTAGTCTGTTTTTGACACCTGTTTCCCCCAATTGCAGAAGGTGTTAAGCTCATCATGAAGATACCCGACCTCCTGAGAGGGTTAGTAACAATAGTTAACATAACTTTCTGTGTGTGTGTGTGTGTGTGTATGTGTGTGGTGTATCTGTTTCATATGCACCGGTACTCTCAGAGGCCCTGAGGGAGCACCAGAGCTCCTAGAGGGATGCTTGTGAGCTGCCCAACACAGATCTGGAAACAGGACTCACTTTGTATTATTCACTTTGTATGGGTGAGTATGTGTGAGCATACATGCCACAGCATGTGTGTGGAGGTCAGAGGACAATTTGTGGGAGTTGGTTCTCTTCTCCCATCATGTGGATGCAGGAAATTGGATTCAAGTCATCAGGCAAGTGCCTTAATTGGCTGAGCCATCTTGCTGGCCCTGGGTAGGGTTTTTGTTGTTGGTTTTAGTCTTTTTAAGGCATGGTTTTGCCATGTGATCCAGGGTGACCTCAAGCTCATGTATAGCCCAGGCTGGACTCACTTTCAGTCTCCCTGCGTGGGGGGGGGGGGGGGGGGGGGGGGTCAGGCATGTGCTCCATGCTCAGCCAGGGTGAGTGTGTGCGGCCAGTTTCTCTTAACCAAATCTACTGTAGGTTATTTTGTTCCAGTTATCATAGTCAAAGCTGGAGTTGCGCCAAAAGAAGGCGCAGCGGGGTTCCTGCAGGAAAATGTGTGGAAGCTTCTGGAGAGGGGGCTGGGTGGAGAAATATCGAGTGAGAGTTGTGGGCCTTCGTGAAGAGAGCAAGGGGAGTCCTGAAGCACGTCTTAGCCACAGCTGCACACACAGTCTTGGAGGGCTGTGGGGCAGCAGTGGCCGACCGCTGAGCAAGACACCTGAGCCCGGGTGATTCTGCCCACATGAGCCGCCTCCACCCAGAAGTCTCTGTTCTGAAGCTCCCTGTTCACTGGCAAATATTCCGTCTCTCAGCATCCTGGTCCAGGGGCTCCTGGTACCCTCACTAGGTCCCCCTCCTTTGGCAGGTGGCATTCCCCACAGACCTCTTCAGTGTCGTCATTCTCGTAATTCTGTCTCAAAGTCCCCTCCCTGAGAATGGAGATTTATTGTGTTGTATCTTATTTTGAGAAAGAGAAAAATATATAGTTCAGACTAGCTTTTAGCTTGCCCCGGCATCCCAAGTGCTGGGATTCTAGACAAGAGACACAGCAACTAGAGGTGACATTTTTTTTTTTTTTTTTTTTTTTTTTTTTTTTTTTTTTTTTTTCGAGACTCGATTTCTCTGTATAACATTTGGAGCCTGTCCTGGAACTCACTCTGTAGACCAAGCTGGCCTTGAACTCACAGAGATCCACCTGCCTCTGCCTCTCAAGTGTTGGGATTAAAGGTGTGTGCCACACCTAGAGGTGACATTTCTTTGTTGCATGGGAATCAAGATTCACTAGACCCAGTACATGATAAAGGAGGTTTATTTGCAGAGATTACACTTACACAAGAGGCAGGTGGCTGTCACAGGTTCCAGCTCCAAGGATCCTCCCAGACCAGCATTGAGAGCTCGTGCATCCCAAAGCCAGCCTAAATCCTCCCCTCCTGTACACAACTGTGACCATGCCCAAACAGGCAAGGTCAGTGCCACAGGTGCTGAGTTAGATCTCTCTCTACATTTCTTTCTTTCTTTTAAAAGATGTATTTATTTATTATCTATACAGTGTTCTGCCTGCAAGTTTGCCTGAAGGCCAGAAGAGGGCACCAGGTCTCATTACAGATGGTTGTGAGCCACATATGGTTGCTGGGAATTGAACTCAGGACCTCAGGAAGAGCAGCCAGTGCCCTTAACCTCAAAGCCATTTCTCTAGCCCCCGAGGTGACATTTCTTATCCATCTGTCATATATCTGTGTGTACTCGACGGTTTTGTGTGTCAACTTGACACCAGCTAGAGTCATTAGAGGAAGGAGTCTCAGCTGAGGAAATGCCTCCAGAGATCCAGCTCTAAGGCATTTTCTCATTTAGTGATCAACGGGGGAGGGCCCAGCCCATGATGGGTGGTGCTATCCCTGGGTTGCTGGTCCTGGGTTCTATAAGAAAGCAGGCTGAGCAAGCCATGGGAGGCCAGCAAGCTGCTTCCCTTCATGGCCTGTGCATCAGTTCCTGACTCTGGGATCCTGCCCTGTTTGAGTTCCTGTCCTGCCTTTCTTTGATGCGGAAGTGTAAGCCAAATTAACCCTTTCCTCTCCAGCTTGCCTTTGGGCTGTGTATTTTCCCACAGCAATAGAAACCCTAAGACACTGCGTATGTATCTACTGTCTATCTGTCATCTATTAAGTTTGTTAATTATTACTGTGATCAAATACCTGGCAGGAGACAGCGTAATGGGGACGGGGCTTATTTTGGCTTACAGTTTAGGAAAATACGGTCCATCATGATGAAACTGTGGCAGGACTATGAGGCTGCTGGTTGCGTTGCATCTTTATTTGGGAACCAGCAAGAGATGAGTGGTACTTAGCTTGGTTGTTTTTATCCAGCACTTAGCCCGTAGGACAGTGCTACCTACACACAGGATGGGCCTTCCTCCTTCAGCTAAACCTTTCTGGAAGTACCCTCAGAGACCCCCCAGGTGATGGACACTCGCCCATCACTCAGATGTGTGTTTCCATGGTGATGCTAAGCCTCATGGTGTTGACAATGAAGAGAGATAGTTACCGCACTGTCTACCCATCTGTCTGTGGATCCAGACAGTAGGTGTGTGGACAGGACTGGGTCTTAGAAACAGGAGCAGTCGCAGCACGAGGCAAACAAGAAGGAAAGAGGGGAGACCACATGGTATTGGCTGTGTGACTTCTCCAGGGAAGTCAAAATACCCATGTCTATTCACCCAAGATAAAGAGGACACCCACAGACCAAGGCAAGATTGTGGTGGTATTTATTTATGACTTATTAAAGCTTGCCTGAAGGTTCAGAAAGCAAAGTCAGACACAAGCCATAGAAGCCAGGCACACACCTCTAATCCTAGGACTTGGGATTAAGAGGTAGACAGATCTCTGCTAGTTCAAGGCAACACTGACTACATGAAATAGATCCAGTGCTAAGAGAAACAGCTCACACAAAGATGATCTCAGCACTTGATATCACATGCCTTTAATCTCAGCACTATCGAGGCGTAAAAGACAGGAACAGGGTCTTCAGTAGGCTCAGACTCCGGATTCTCCAGCCACTCTGGGGAGAGGCAGCAGTCTGAGGCTTGGTGGAGAGTTTGTGGACCAGCTCTATCAGCAGGAGCTAGAGGTGACAGCCAGTGGCCAACTGCTTTTCTTTCCTGATCTTCAGCTTGAAGCTTGAACCCCAATATCAGCCTCTGGGTCTTTTATTTATCATGCTACACAGGATTCCATCCAAGGGTGACTTGGTGAACCAGTGAGCTTGTTCATGTTACTTCAGGAGCATGGGTAATTCTTGGGCAGCTGTACCACCATGAAGTCCTATACTCCACATGTGCAGCTCACATAAAACTGAACCTTGAAGAGGCAAACCAAAAACAATTGCCTGTCTTTTACATAACCACAGGGAGAATCTCATGAGGGCCTTCAAGCCTCTTCTCCCTCTGTGAAGGAAAGTTAAGAGGACCCATCTCTTGAAGGTCTCGTTTGCTTACAGCTGCTTCGATCCAAGAGGACAATAGTTGTGTCCAGCCTTGAAGAAACATTACACTAGAGGGACAATATTATAATAGTGTGAACTTTTAAAACTCCAGTCGTAGCAGACAACACCAGTCAGAGGAACAGGTGAGTGACCTGCCAGCCAGCTGAACTGCCCCACTCCCTGGATCAGATCCCAAAGACCCAACCCACTGCCCCCCCTGTCCCACCCCATCCCCTCCACTGCTGAGACCCCAACTCAGGTGGACTTCTGCTGCCCAGGAGGAGGTCACACCAGTCAGAAGAACAGATAGGTGACCTCAGGCAGAGACTCCTTGCTGGACCACAGACCACCCCTGCTTCCAGAACCAGAGACAGGCATCCCACCAGTGGATCCTCCACTCACTCAGAGCTCCCTATCCCCCACCCCTTCCTCATTACCCCACAACTTGAACAGAGACCTCCTGCTGCACCAAAGCCCAAGTTTACCATCAGAAGTCCAGCCCCCTATTTGGACAGAGACTTTCTACTTGAACAGAGGTCACACCAGTCACTAGGAATCCAGGCCACAAAGACCTGAAGACCAAAGAGGAAACAGAAACCAAGGAACAAAACACCCATACAACAAAGACAAACTCAGAAATCATCACCTAGACTTACAATCACCCCAAGCCCAGATTCGTGAACACCAGTGTAAGAACACAATCAACCACAGCCAGGGCAATATGGCACCATGGGAGCCCAGCAGTCCTACTACAGCAAGACTATTCCAGCACAGCTGAAGCACAAGAAAATGACTTAAAAACCAGCTTTATGAAAATGATAGAGGTCCTTAAAGAGGAAATGAAAGAAAAAATCCCTTAAAGAAATGGAGGAATAGAGAAAGAAAATATTTGGAGTATATCAATAAATCCCTTAAAGAGTGACAAGAAAGAAAGCCAAGAAGGGAAAAAAAACAGATAAAGGAAATGAACATTCATTTCTTAAAAATGGAAATAGACGCAATAAAGAAAACACAAGCCAAGGAATTCTGGAAGTGGAAAAATCTAGAAAAGTGGCAGGAACTACAGACACAACCGTCACTAACAGACTACAAGAGATGGAAGAGAAAAATCTCAGATGCTGATGATGCAAAAGAGGAAATAGATTCATGGGTCAAAGAAAACATTAAATCTAAAAAAATTCCTGATGCAAAGCATCGGGAAATTTGGGACACCATGAGAAGACCAAACCTAAGAATAGTAGGAATAGAAAAGGGAGAAGAATCCCAGATCAAAGACCCAGAAAATATTTTCAACAAAATCATAGAAGAAAACCTTCCTACCCTAAAGAAGGATGTGCCTACAAAGATACAGGAAGCTTACAGAACACCAAATAGATTGGAACAGAAAAGAATGTTCCCTCAGACATAATAATCAAAGCACAAAACACACAGAACAACAACAAC